TATAGAAGTAAACTCCTTTTTTAAAGCATCAAATGATGCTTTGGCTTCTTTACTTTACTCAAGTCTATTATTACAAGTCAAATGTGTAAATAGAACTACAATTTTAGAAAAATTCTTGATGAAGATCTAAGAATAATTGACAAAGTCCAAAAAATATTACACATATCTTACTGTTCTTAAAATCTTCCAATCCATGATAGTCTAGACTTTCTTTGGATCCATCATTAATCCTTAAAATAATGTATCCTAGAAAGTCAACTTGAATTATGTGGAATATATACTTTTCTAACTTGGGATATAATTTTGCATCTCTAATTTTTTGTAATACATGACAAATATAAACTTCATGCTGATCTGTGTTCTTAGAATAATTTAAGATTTTGTCCAAATAACATACAAAAAAATCATCAAAAAACTCACAAAAGACATCATTTTATTATATGTTGAAAAGAAATTAGTACACTCGTTAATCCAAAAAGTATGACATTATATTCAAAATATCCATAACTAGTTTAAAATATAATTTTCTATTTTTTTTTTTTTTTTAAGGTGTATCAAATTTTGTGCTCCTTGTAGATCTATTTTTATATAAATCTTTTCTTGATTGAATTGGTGAAAAATTTCTAAAATCAAAGATAGAGAATATCTATTCTTGATGGTAATCTTGTTGAGTCTTCAATAGTCCAAACACATCCACAAAGATCTGTCTTTTTTCTTTTCAAGTAAAATAGGAGCTCTGATTGGAGATTTAAAATGACATATGAAATTATTAGCTAAGTTTTCATCAATGTATTCCTTGAGTGCAACCAACTTGTTTTATGATAGGCTATAAATTGATCCAAATGGTAGTTAAACTTTTTTGTGAAGATCAATAGAACAATAATAAAAATGATGTTCTTCAAAAATATTTACATTCTTTTTTTCAAAAACGTCTTGAAAATCTTACTATTGATTAATAATACTACTTAATGTCTTTTCACCATCAAAAATGGGCGTGGCAAATAAATCAAAAGATAGCCCTTTTTTTGCAGCATGCTTAAAAGCTCTCATACCTACCAATAAGGATTTGGATAAATTAGACTTATGTATTATCACTTGAGTAACAAAATTTTGGATTAAACTATTAGAAAAATTAAGATCACAAGAAATCCAATCTATGTAATGATTATACTTTTTTAATTAAGATAATTCCAAAATAATGAAGTTGAACGAAGCTCTTATTACATTAAATATTACTATGCTATTTTTAATTGCTACATCTAAATGAATAGATTCATGCATAACATCTCTAAAAGATAGCAAACAATCATTTATGACTTCTATATGTATAGGTATAATTTTTTTGACCAACAATATTTCTTATTTTTTAACAAATCCTTTATTTTTAAAACAAATTCACGCTCTTGAATATAATAAAACTAAGACTTTGTAATTTTTTGATCCTAAATAAACTTCTATTGTAAAAAAAGATGAAAGATCTGAAGAGAGAATAGGACCTTTACTAGAAGTGATGCAAGATTCTAGCCACACAGTCCCTATTGTAGTTGGAGAAATTTATTTTCTGACACATCATCTTCTTTGGCAACCATACTTCTTATTTTGTGATTGCATTTTTTCTTTGGACAAAGTTGGGTAATGTGTTTAGCTTCTCTGCGATATAAGCATAAGCATTCTTGACATCGTTGAGTCTTTTTTTGCTCTATGAAGGATTTAAAATATATTGTATCAATTTGCATTCGTTCTCGCCTCAATGAATAAATTTTTGAAAATTTGGGAGTTTTTGTTATTTTTTCACTTGTTCTTCTTTAATCAAATCTTTATTCTTGATGACTTTCAAATAATCAGTTTTAGCATGCAATAGCTTGAGCAATAAATTATTCTAATGATTTTTCCTTTGGCATTGTCAATAATAAAATTTTGACATTATTCTTCAATCCATATCAAAATTGATTAATAAGGGCTTTGTCATTCTGGTCCATGTTGCATGCAAGGTTTTCAAATTCAGCAACATATATGGTGGTTGATTGTGATCTTTGTTGTAAAGATAAGAACTTAGTCTCTACTATTTTTTCTTGATCATTTTCTTTGAATGTAGCTGTAAACACTTTTAGGAATGAATTTAGAGTATAAAAGAGTCACAAATTCTTTTTTATTAAAGGTTTTAATCAAAAGAGTGCACTTTTTGATAGAAGTGCACCTATAAATTCAACTTGAGTAAATCCTTTAGAATATTGGAAGGGACACAATCTTAAATAGAGCTTGAATTATTGCACAAATCCTTGAAATTTTGATCTTGTTCCATCAAACTTCTCAAGCACATTAATCCTTATTGTGATTATTCTTGTAGAAGCAAAACTCCTTTAATTTAGTTGTGAGGTCAATTTACTTACTTCCTTCAATTGCACAACTTCTTGCCTTAGAATTTGAACTTCTTTCATGGACATAAGTATAATATCTCTATAATTTATATTGAAAATACATGAGATTTATACACTTAGAGTGTTGACAAGCTCATGAAGATTTACAATAATTGTAAATCTATTCGTATTTTTGCAAAGAGTAGCATCAATAATCTTTTCTTTCATTGACAACTCAAACAAATTCAAAAAGTTAAATTAGAGGAGAATAATTTGCAATCTTTAGTATCTAATGAAAATTTCTACAAAAATGAATAATCCACTTTCTTTAAGGAAAAAATCAGTGTTTAAAAAATTAGATTTTTTGTTTAAAGGTAGGTAGTCGACAACCTTCAAAATACAAAAATAGAAGTGGAATAATCTACTCACTTCTAAAACAAGAGAGAAATAATTAATTGGCACTCTTGTTAATTTTTCAAGGACATAAATTTTGAAGAAAGAAAATCTTCAATATACTCTTGTCTCACTGAAAAAGAACTAGAAAGACACTCAAAGATGATATAATATTGAACTAGAATGGCTATTGCCAAAAACAAGAAGACTAAAAAGTCTAAAAATAAGATTAAGGACTAAAAAGATGTTGATAAGAGTGAAGAAGGCTTTATTCTTGCCTCCATATATATTCTTAATTAATAGCTACGTGGCAATGTCCTATAGGACCTCCAAAACATATTGACTTTGTAAGACACATATCTTAACTTGCAAGGCAAGTTTTCTATTTGTGAGTCACATAACTAGCTTGTTCTACAAGCTACCAACATGAGGTTAACTTGTGGACCAAGTTTCTAATCAATCAATCAATTACAAATACATGTAAAGTCAAAGCAGTGTCTATGAAGCTTCTAGGAAGCTTTTTTAGAAGGTATTATGAAATTAACCTATTTTTATCTACTTTTACCTATTTCTACCTAATCATATAAGTATTTATTAAACTACCTTTGTATATCCGTGACAATGTATAGGTGAAAAAACTGATTTTACACTACAATACAAAAAATGGCTTAGTTGTTATTTTTTACACAAATTTTATATGCAAGTCATAAAGATATTTTTATTAATCTTAATTTTAAATTATATTAATCTTATATTAAATATTAATGGTTGAGAGAACTATAAATAATAGTAATATTTATTATACATCAAAAATTAATCGTTAATTATTATCCTATATTTAAATTATACAAAGTTAGAAAATAGCATAAAAACCTTGAAATTGATGTTATTTATTAATTTTTTTATCTATTAAATTCAAAATAAAAACATTAAATAGTAGTATGATATATAATTAAACTGCTTAATATAATATAAAATATATTATTTTCTATATTATATATTATTATTATTATTATTATTATTTAAATAACACTATATATGTAAAAATATATTTTTATATTTGAACTATATTTTTTTTAAAAAAATTTAAAGTTTTTATTTTATTATTATTATATTTTTATTTTTTCAATCAAATACAAAATGAAGCACAAAGACGAATATGATTTTTTTTGGTTTTTGATATCTAAATTTTAATTTTAATTTTTTTTATGGACAAAGTTTAAATATCAATCTTAAAAATATAAGGAACTACTAAAAGAAGTGTTAGAAAATATTCATATTAAATTTTTTGTGTGCAATGGCTTATATCTCTTTTTTCATTTATAAAATATTTTATTGTAATTTATTCTCTTTTTTATATAAATAAGAATTTTACTGTGTGTATGCAAGGATGTATGGCACGTTGGTGTTTTATATAAATATATAACAAGAAAAGAAATTGGTGAATTTTACAAATTTAATTTCTTATATCCAAAAATATTATATATATATATATATATATATATATATATATATATTTTACACATCTAACCTCAATTTAGCCATGTGATAGAAGACAAATATTAAAAACAGACACTGAATCAATGAATAGAATGTATTGGAGCAAGACAATTTATGAGTGTGCTCATTATTCTTAACACAGCGATAAAAAATAAAAACAGATAAGAGAAATAATAATGTTGCACTTCTGATTTTTCAGGATTAATATTGTATATATATATATATATATATATATCTATATATCTATGTATACCCACACATGCATGCCTACCTTTTCCAAAAGTTGCCTCAGAGGCTGTCAAAAATTTCCCAAATTTCCTTTATAAAACATGAACTTAAACAAACGGGCGCACAGCAGCAATCCATTGTATAGCAATAACGTTGGAAGGACAAGTATATATTTGGCTCGTTTGGATTGATACTATTCGGCGTTCTTGATAATCTAGCTGTTAATAGTGAAGTCGCCGACACCGCATTCATTTTTGCTATTTGTGATGGGGCAGGGACAAAGTTCTCTCTTTCCTGATGCGCATGATGACGCTGCAACTACATAACAATTGTGTGGAAAACTGAACCTGGTATAGTTTTTCTCAGTCGGAGAACGTTGTACCAGATTAGACTTGGAGGATTCTTCTCTTTTACGTAGCAGGTGCTGCCCACTCTGCAGAAATCGGTTTTAGTCGTGCCGTGTACTCACTCGGACCATGACGCAACTTGAGTGACAAGCTAGATGTGGTCTACCATTCTGTATAAAACACCGACACTTAAAAAATTACATTATAATAGCATGCCGAAATACACGATAAATGCAAGACTTGCAGTGCTCATCAAAACTTTCCATGGTTTGATTCATGTGTACTATAATACAAGTCCAAGGAACCTCATTGCCTGAGGAAGTCTTCTGCTACCTCACCTCCTTGCCCCACAGCAATTGCTCCTTGGGTTAATCTAAGAAGTAGAATTTACATTTCCTGCACTCCGAGACGATCATCGATCGCACCCTATTAGAGAAAGTAAAAAGATTATCAAGCCAACCACGAGCGTGAGAAGTGCCGATGGAGCAGCTGACCGACAAGCGGCGTTAATCGGAACCATCTCCGGCAACACACATTCTTCCCCATTAAACCAGATTCTGGATGGAAAGCCACCGCCGAGGGGTACATCGATTCCCGGAGTGGTCTCCTTAGTGAAGGAAATGACCGACTGGATCTTCCCTGACGTAAGGTTCTGGGCAGCCATCAAATAGTTGTTGTACCCTTCTATGCCGGTCACAACGAAGGTGTTGTTGATCATGGCATCGCCCAGGCTGTTGTTAAGTAGGGGAAGGCGTGTGGCATTCATTGTGTATGCTTCCTGTAAGCCTGCGGTGGCATTTGGCATCTCGATGACAGCGTACCAGTCAGGATAGGTGATGTTTGACCAGTCCAGGAACGTGAGCCGGGCGCTCCACCCCTTGGCAAAGTCGGAGACTATGTGCCAGTTCACGTTGACACCGCAGTAATCGGTGCAAGGAAGAGGATCCGGGAGGGGTCTCCGGTTGAGCGCAGCCCACGCCTTAATCTGCTTGGTTCGGTTCACAGGGGCGAGAGTGAGAGCTCCATACGGGAGCAGCACAGACGATGCATTGCGATCGCATGTGGCTGATGAGTCCTCTTCACCGTAGACCAGTGAGGGGGGTTTGTCAGGCAGTCCACAAGCACCCGACCTACAGGGCACAACTGATTCGTTGTAGTATGCCGAAAATGAAACACAGCACTTGGGTGTCCTCTTCACCTCAGCAGTGATGTTGCAAGTCACCTGTTTATATCGTCGTCACAACAAGAAATGTTCTTTCAGAAAAAAGATAAAATTCTAGTACGATCAAATAAAAGAATACAGAAAATTTACTAGCCAAAGCTTTAAGAGAAAAAAACTTCCACTTGAGGAAGAAATGAGTACTAGAGTGTAAGGATTTGACATGCGAACCTGCCAGGTCTTCACAGCCGACCTTCTATGTATAAGACTGTTCCAGGGATCCCCGTACACGGTGGGTTCAATGAGTCTTGGCTTTCCACAAGTGTAGTACCCGTCAGTCGTATTGCTGCCGTCGCCGAACTTGAAGTCGCCGGGAGGCACTACGTGAGTGATATCGTCATCACCAGGGGGCACTTTGTACACGTTTATCTCAAAAGCCGCTGTCGTCTTCTTCGGGTCTATGATAGCAGGATATATAGTTCCGTTCTTGCAACAATTCTTGACCATTCCCAAGTTCGTATCGTTGGTTCTGTCAGTAGGCAAATCTAGAATGACTGGACGAAGTGCACAACTGGCAGCCTTGTTGATATCCGGACCTTCGGAATACGTCCTCCCAGCAATACCCCTCACACAGGTCTTAATGTCAGCTTCGTATGTCTGAGCTCCTTTAATAGTGTTGATGAATTCATCTTCTTGCCATGTCCACGAAAGATTCCAATGATCAATACGTGTTACAGGCATGTTGTTGGTAATCGACACCTGCAAATAGCCGAACACATTCTTAGACCTAACTTAGATTTCGCACAACAATCACTTAAGAGCACCTGATTCTATAAGCCCATATCATGGTTTCCAGGAGCAAACCGTGGCCATGTAGTTCTTCTCGTAAGCCCCAGTGACGTCATACAAAATTGTAATATTACCCTTCTCCGGTGGAAGGTAATTTTCTTCATCATCAGACAGAGTGATGTTCCTATTTTTCTCCAGGCAACAAACCCACATTGTATTGTCTGCGCAAAGAATCCACAGTCAGAACTTCAACGACAAGACAACCTTGGCAAGAAACCGTTTTAATACATGTCACAATAACCAGAAAAACTAGCTGAACTGCTGAAAGGGATCGCGCAGAAGAATCAAAACTTACTCCCTCTGAAACTAGGAGCACTACAATTGTAATCTTTATCTGTAATGTTGATGTTTGTCGGCATTGGATCAGTTTTCACTCCAAATTCAGTTCCGAGGATGTTGATTTTTCTCTGGATGAGCTTTATGTTCCCTGCGGTCTCAATGGCGTTCTTCAAATCCTCAGGTGTGGCTCCGGTTAATATGGTACCGTTAGATACATCCACGGGCATTTTCTGCCCATCTGCCAACACAGCTGTTCCCGCGTCCACTAAAATCTGTCAACACAATCAAGAAAAGGAACGTCAGTCTGTCCAGCTACTTACCATTCGAAATGAGGTTCAACCTTAAGTCACGAGTGAAAAGAAGACCTTAAAGAGTTCCTAAAACTGAACACTCCATTCTTCCGTTTACTTCTACGACAACCTCTACCTAGCTTTTAATCTGGATTCTTACTTAATGATGAGATCACAGAAACCTACCATACTAAAACACTACAAGACTCACCGGCCTGCTCGAACTAGAAACGAATTGTCTGCAGCGCAACTTATAAGACCACATCTATCGAAGTCATCAGACTATTGGTAGAGACGATGCGCTCACTAAGGTTCACGTTGTATGCTCAAATCCCCTATCAAATCCCTCGGAAATGGGCACAGATGCACCCTGTGCTTTCCACTAAACGTACATGGAGAAGATCGTGTAAGATGGAAATGCAGGGCAAAGAAATCCAATTGAATGCAGCTGCTTCAGGTAGATCATCGGACGAGACACGAACAAAGAATCCAAGGTGGGACACTAAAAACCAACGGGACCATATTCCCGAATTCAACTTTTTTAAATCGACAAAAGGAACTCAACAGGGAAATTATTGGCAGCTTCGCTAACTGCGTTCAGATGTCTATCCTTTCGGATTGTGCTCACCTCATTATGCTGGAACATAATTCCCATCTCCCAGTTCTGCACAGTCGAATATCCCATGTTCGTCAACGTCGCCAATGCCTGAAAGGAATAAGGCTGAATCCAAGGCGTGACGTTGAGAAAAGGGTAAATTTTCTTGGTGAAGGTTGACTCGTACAAAACGTGCACGCCATCACATGGGGGAAACAATTCGTCAAATCCAGGTGCCGGCGCAGGGGCCATCTCTGCCAGTGCGGGTGCAGTCGCAGGCTGGCCTGGAAGCAATAGCCCTGGTGCTTGAACGGCGCCCTTGGGTGTAGCAGCTGGAGCACGCGCCCGCTGTGCTCCAACACAAGAAAGTAACACTATCATCATCAGGACCGCAAGAGTTGACGCTGGTCCCATCCTGATGCCACTTCCTGTTGCTGCCATCCTTGTAAAGCAACGGCGGGAAAACAATGCAACGCTGATTTCAGGCAATGCTTGCCCAATCAGACAATGCCCTGCTCAGCCGACGTAGCTTTCGAGGTCACCCATAGAATTCGCAGTGCACTCCAACTCCCTGCAAGGCCACGACCATTACACATTAACGACTACCATCACAGAGCTCAGCCCACGAGTTGCACCAAGATGCTGATGAACAACATCGAAGGTCAACCGCGACATCCCGACTGTAGGAAGTGACACTGAGTGGGAGCTACTTCGTAGTAGAGCAGTGCCAGCTCCAGAGAGGAATACCTACCGGGCAGGCATCCCGAGATCAGTATCTAGGAAAATGACCGGCGAAAGATGCGACAAAACTCCATGCAAACAGTTGCTTGTCGAGGGAACGAATAATGGAGAACGGAGAGATCCTAGAAACGAGGCCTCGCGGAAATGGTGGCTTCCCTCGCGGGTCGTGATCAGGTGTGGTGCGACTGTAGCAAGGCGCGTGTACCGATTACTGCGTTACCAGCCGCGATGAACTGGAACTCCAAGTTCAAACTTGAGTTGGGCAATTCGTAAATCTAAGTGGGACGGAATGTATTTTAACCTGATCATTATTTAACATTAAATTGAGTTGAAAGCGGTTAAAAATTATAAACTTCCATCGTCATACTAAAGATGCAGCTGCAACCACGAGCAAAAGCATCAAATATGAGGACCAACAACAGTGCCTCAGCAGGTTAGCAAAGAATAACAAAAGTAATATAAGTATGTACCTGGCTGCATCAAATATGAGGACTGTTAATAGTGTCTTTGCATGTTAGCAAAAGTAACAACAGCAAGGTATGTATGTATCTGGCTACATCAAATAATGATTCTTTGAACAATTTTCCTGTCACAAAAGAAATCGAAAATATACAAGGTATGGTGAGAACTACCCTACAGACAGTTTCTGTAAATATACATATCTATCTATCTATCAATACACACACACACACACACACATATATATATATATATATATATATATTGTTTCATTGGTTCTCCCCCATTAACTCTTCTGAGAGGAGAACCGGTACGCAACTCGTGCCGCTTGTTGTAGATCATCGAATGTTTTGTAATATCAACTCATGAATACAACCTTAGAATAATATGAATTAAAAATCGTCCACAATTCAGATAACTATTAGAGTTGCAGAAAAGGCGATTATCGATTATCTACACATCCAGGTTAACTTGTAAGGACGCCAATATTCAAACATAATACCATCCAACCCAAGAATGAAGGACGAGCATTATTTTGGCCACAATTTGCTAAACATGATGCACCAGCTACTTTCAGCTAATGAGAAACCGGCACGTAGGTTCAGGCTGCATGTCTGAACAAAAGCCCTGTCACGTATTTCCAATTTCTATTGCAAACTTCATTACCTAAAAGGTGCTTCTCAGTCTCATACACCACAGTTCAAAGGGGGAAGGTCGACATTCAACCCTGAACTATTTTCCAGGGATCAATGCGGCGCTTTGAAACGTACACTGTGCGGTCCCACGCCAAGTGATCCAGCAGCCAGGACCATTGATTTATCCCGCAAACAATAATAACACTTGACCACGAATGGCATTGCGATGCAAAAGCTTGAGCTAAGCACAATGGTCGAGGTAGCGCCATTGTCGCCGCTTGCCAGAGCGTACAGGCAGAATTTAGAGACCAATGAGCATGAAGGCGAGAAAGGCAACCTGGCCTGACGGATTTGGAGCTGTAGACGAAGAGAAAATAAACGCGGTGGGAGTCGTCGGGTCTATATAATGGAAGGCTACAGTCTCCTTGCTGTAGAGCTTCCACCTATCCGAAAATGGCGAATTCCTTTGGCGGACTCCTTAGCGATCATGTTTCCAAGCGCAACGTTGCGTTCCTCCCGTCAGGCGCCACCGGGCCAAGCGCGCCGCCTGCGTCGACGACGACCCGAAAATGGACTACTCCGCTTCGCGCAGCCCCGAAGCTCTCACTCCCCCCACGGCCCCAGTTTTTCCGAATTTCCTCGGACGTGTCGGTGGAGGAGCAGCCGATGCGGGACTAGCTCAGCTCAGGTCGCTTTTTCCAATCCTACGACAGAAGAATCGATGTTTTTTGAAATTTGAATGTTCTCAACACCCAGTTGTGTTGATATTGTAATTACAGTAAGGAACGGAATTAGTGTCAGAGAGACATTATACGCAGGATATTGATAAGTGCTTTGTTGTTTTCTTTGTCCCTCGTAATAGTAGTTTTTTTTCGCTTATTTATTAAGTTGTTAATTAGTGTTTACCGAAGTTTTTTTCAAATTGGGAGAGCATCGAGTGTAGTTTTTGAGGTATTGAGATGAATTAAACCCTTAACCTGAGGTGGAAATTTGACGAGGTTTTGTTGAAAACTCTTATTTTATTAAGGAGCATGTATTTGAGGTAGTGCATGTACGTAGATGGTTAACTTATTTTCCTTTTATCTTTTTGTGTGTGAGAAATGAATTTATAGTATGAAGATTTGATTTTAAAATAATGTGGGTCTTAACAGCCGTGACCATAACCAACATATATATATATATATATATATATATATCCCCAATTAAATTTCATTCTAAACTTCAGAAAAATTTGCTTTGGTTAATTGTTGAGATTGAGCTGGCAAATGTGCATATTTTCTTTTACTTTAATCTCCATTATTATAAATTTAAAGAGAAATAACCCTGTGAAATTTAGAGTTTGTTTGAAGTATTAAATTTAACCACCCATAAAGAGAGCAAGCATATAAAACAATAAATACATACTTTATCACAAAATTAAAATAAAAAATGAATAAAAAAATGAACTCTTGATTAGATGACTTTGTATTAAGTGTAATTATGATACCATATTTATAAAACATAAAGAAATATGAAAATGTCCCCTTTTTAAAAATAATTCAATGTTAGCTTTATTTTTTGAATTTTTAAGGATTAAAATGTAAAGCATGCACAAATATATTGATATTTATTGGATGATAAGAATACCCCATAATTAATTTAAATTAATTATTATTTATTAGTATTATATTTATATATACACAAAAATGACATACAAATAAAATCCAAAGTGTCCCTTTTCAAAATTCCAAGAATTATAAAAAGATTGTTTCTTACTTAAAAAATTAAATTGTACACAATCCATGGCTTTAGGGTCAATTTTATAAAGATCAATGTTCTTTACTATTCATGACATATATTCAAAGCAGTTTAGTAAAGAATCATACAAATGATTTAAATTTTAAAATCATACATGTATATATGTGTTTGCAATCTCAAGAATTACCAATAATAGTGATTATTTTGTTCTATTACAGAATGCATTCCTATTTGTTGTAAAATTGAAAAAAATGTACTATATGATAATGTATCCATTTATAAAAAATATACTCAACGAACTTAATACTATCTAAATTATGTAATAATTATTATATTCTATACAACCTGTAGAGGACATCAGTAGCATTTTAATAAAGATGTATCATGGTTTTCAATATGTGGAGAATATTTAATAACTACATTTTTTTTTTGTGCTTCAAGAAAAAAACAAGCTTTATTTTTCATTGAAATGTATATCACTTTAGTTTTAAATTATTTTTTAAAAAATGAGTTTATATTTTAAATACATATAACTATATGTGTTACTATATGAGTTTTTTCTCTCTCTTTTCTTCTTCTTCTTCTTTTTTTTTTTTTTTTTTTTTTTTTTTTTTCCTCTTCTTCTTATTCCCTTTTATATATACATAATTTATTGAAATGATATCAATGGAAGCCACTAATATCCATCCATTTCAAGTTGTTGATATTGACTTTTAAGCAAACATGCACCTTTTATTTCAGAATCTATATGACACATCTTTTATATTGATTTGGATCTAATGTTTTCACTAATGCAGCAGCTTCTTCACAAACCATATCTTCAGTATGACTGTTGAGTAACAAACTGGAAAACAAAAAAAAAAACAAAAAAAACTTGAACACTAACACATATACACACACTAACTTTCATATTCAAACTTCGATTCATTTTATTACAAAAACCAATGAAGTAGAGAATTCAAAAAGAATTGTAACACTATCTTTAATGTGCCCACTTGCTGAAGCAGCTCCAGAGGTTTAAAAGGTAATTTTTTGTACTATCTAGCTACATGTTTTGTGCAATTAAAATCAATTAAAACTTCTCACATCTACTCGTTCAGCGCAAATGCACCAATCTTATTTGCAAATCCAAACTTCTTAATTTTATTTGACCAGTAGAGAGTTCATCAGCCTGGAAGCACAAGAAAAACACATGGTAATCAAGTTTCAGCTGCAATTGTAAGTTGCTTATCTTAAGATACATTTAACTGTGAAAGCAATTCAAATATTTAGATCATTAACAATAAACACCCATAGTAAAAAATAGACTAAATTGAAAAGATCAGTCAACATTTTAATTAAAATTCATTACCTTGATATTTCCGTTTAAGAATAGTATATATATATATATATATATATACATACTTGAAACTTTCAAAAAATAAGCACTTACATGACAGTGTCAAACTTTAGAATTCATACCCCATATGTTATTCAGGGAAAAAGAAATCTCCAAAGCTGTTTATGTTGCAACTTTGAATGTTTCCTTAACACGCAATTAAGATGTATGAATTAATGGGAGGTGAAGAATAGAAGTATTAAATGGTTATAGACTTTATTCCCTGCAAAAGATGGGTGAGTTAATGAGCTCCAATCCAGTTATGCCAACACTACACCGCCTCAATTCAATATATTCTACGCCTCATTAAGCACCACCATATTTCTGAGACCTGCCCGAAAAAGGATCGGAATGGGTCAGACACTAAAATTTTCGCCTCGAGATGACGTACTCGGTTAACAGCGAGACCCTGTCACCGTCTGGCCCACCTACGCTTAATCATTAGTGGCCAGTAATCAAGCGAGGGTTTAATTTCTAATTACCCGTTTTTGAATCCAGCCCGTTTCCTAGATTATGACACCCACATGAACCTCACAGGAGGAGGATAAGATCCGTTAAAATCACGGCCGCCCTAGACTTCAGGTCAATAATGCACCCGCTTCTAAAGTCCGCCCGGCATGCAACCTGACATGCCGGTGTCCCGCTATCTGACACCCCTCGCTGGGGATGCTTTGGTGGACCCGGCCCGGGGTCACATCGCCTTCCTGGAATCCGCCGGGTCAATGAGGCTTGTCGGATCGTTGTCATTATTGACGATTCTCGTTCAATGGATGTATATTATCCAAACATGTTCGGACAAGTTTGTGTC